TTTTTTTTTTTTTCTTTCAGCGATACTTGGCCTACTTTCTTCACTATGCCGCCCTCAGTCCCTACGCGAGGCGGCCCCTCTTCATCACGCCCAACCTCATCCATGCCTCGGCCGACCTACTCGGGCGGTAAGGTCACTGCTTTGCATCGAAAGGGCGTTGTGCGACCGTCAAACACTGGCGGCAAGACTGTTCTGGGCGGAAAGCGACATCGGTAAAGACGAACGCTGAGATCAACATGAAACATCGTCTGACAGAATACAGTAAAATCCTGCGCGATTCCGTTCAAGGAGTCAGTGAGTTTATTCATTTACCCTCTGTGAAGGATGCGTACTAACAGTTGTCCAGCTAAGCCCGCTATCCGGTTTGTCAAGTTCACTGGGGGTTCACGGTTTATGTACTGATGAAGATTTAGACGACTTGCCCGTCGAGGTGGCGTGAAGAGAATCTCTGCGAGTATTTACGATGAGGTTCGCGCGGCGCTGAAAGCTCGATTGGAGACCGTACGTGAAGCACGCTATCTCCTCACTCCCAAGACGGCCGCTAACATGTATCTAGATTCTGCAGGACTGTGTGATCTACGTTGAGTACAGAAACGCCAAGACGGTGACGGTTCAAGATGTGAGTATTCCATTGTCTACGTATGAAGGAGCACCGACTAACCCAATAAACAGGTCATCCACAGCTTGGGCCGGCTCGGGCGACCTCTCTGGGGTTTCGACCCTGAGACATATTATCCCAAGAAGAACTAAGAGTGATTCATTTCCTTTTATGGCGAAAGATTATACATGGAGTTCGGAGCGTCACGTCAAAGCATATGTTGTTTTCCGCTTTGTTTTGTCTGTTATTGTTGAGGTTTTATACCAGGTTGTTTATACATGCGCAAGACGAATTTGTACTGTAAGTCACAAAGCATAGGATGTTACTTGGGGGTAACAAAAGGATTGATTAATCATGATTATGCTACGTCATGGTTCATGAGAGATCAAAATAATTGAACAAAATCAATGTCTACTTTTTCATTGTGAACAGCTTTTATCAGTCCCATGTTTTTTCCGCAGTCCGGTAGATATGAGAAGTCAAAAGGACCATTGAGCTCGTCTAGTCACCCTCTGTTCTTCAACTCATTAAAAACACAATGCTCCTACTGACTCTGTCGCCCTAAACGACCGTAACGCCTTTGCCTTGCTGCCCTTGCCGCTAGGAGGTATATATCATGAAAGCAACGCGAGAGGCGCGTTCGACGCCTCTCGCAAGTGGGGTATAAATCAATGCGAGTCGTAACTGATGCTGGAATACTTGTGCTGCCAAACTAATAACGTGTCAAGGTCGCTGTTTTGAGAGTGCGACTAGCCATCCGTCAGGGCGTCATAAGAATTGGC